CTCCTCCAACCTCCCCCAACGCCACCATGAATCACAATAATACTGTTTCTTGTTTTTAGTATTTCCCCAATTGGAAGGCGGGAGGGGTGGGGGAAACAACAACAAGAACAATGTAAAAGCACGGGACCATGCAGTGTTGAGATGATTTCAAAGCAGAAAAAATAATAATAATAAAAATTGGAAATGAAAATATTTGCTGATAAAATTTCATTAATGATGACAAACAAATATTATTAATAAAAACAAGGATGATGATGGTAATAATATTTATGATGACGTTGATGTGATGACGACAATGCTGTGGGGGATAAAATAATAGTGTGTTGAAAGAGAAAGGAAATTAGTAGTAGTAAAGAAAAATGAAAACACAGAGATGGATTGCTAAAGAGAGAGAGAGAGAGAGAAAAAATCAAACTGCTAAGACAATTACGCTGTCTTTCGGGCCATTAAAACATTATTAATAATCATAATAATGGCGTATTATCAATTACTTTGGTAAATAAACACCAACGACGAGAATAACACATTTGTGCACAAGAATGAATAAATGTTTTGGACAATATATATATATATATATATTGTGTTCAATGATTTGTTTTTATTGCAATATTATATTATATATATTAAGTCATCATTATCAACAATTTTTCAGTCAGAATCTCATGGAAGTAACAAACTTTGGGGAATTTGATGCTGTGCCGCCAGAGGAGGAACATAAGAAACAAAGTAACCTTAACATGCGCATCTATTCTGGCTTCCAGTTTCCTCAGTGCCAAGCCGAATGCTGTCAGGGTAATCAGAGTGAAGATTTGTCTACAACAGAAAACACATGATAAGCGATATTATTAATTATTATGCCCCAACAAACAAGATTATAAAGTTTATTAGATCACACTAAGAACATAAATGATCAAAACCTTGTTGAAAGGGTTCAGGGGAGACAGCCAAGTCAGAAATAGTTAAAAGTACTTGGCATTACATTCAATCAGATTTGTCTATGTATTCAAATATTGATTCAGTGGTAGAATATTCACCAACCAGGCAACTGACCTGAAGTTCGACTCCCAGCTGATGCACTCCTACATCTTGCTTACTTCACGAGCCAATAGTAAGCTCCGGAAAAAAGGGAAGGTTTGGAGTGAAGCTAGCAACCTACCCTGTGGAAACAACAAAATTGCTACTGAAACTGTAGGCCTGAAGCCTGAGAATGAATCAAGAAACTTGACCTGGGTTACGAACTAATTGTATTCTAATTTTTGAAAGAAAATAGTATAAAGTATAGATAGATAGGCGCTTCACTTACCCACCTTCTGCATTTGATGGAATTCAATATAACTACTTTGTTGGTACGACGTGTTAAGTGTACTGATCTTCGCAAAATATTCATATCAGTTATCTGATAGAATTATTCTCAACCAGAAGATTTTTAAAGTCAACATCTAATGATAGTCTCTCTTGAATAGCCTTAAGTTTGATTTATCAAAAATTTTATATTGTCCAGTTTCCCTTTATAAGCGAGAACATGACGTACGAACTGCTTCCCTCCCACATACTTTATCTTCCAGTTAAAGGCATGCTGTATGTCATTCAACTTGTCCCTATTCTGCTTCCCCGTTGTAAAGAGGAGGGTTGGAAAACATCAATCCCGAAAACTGTACATCCCGACTTACTTTGGGGCGGTCCGTAACCGGTGATATAGGTCTTAGTACGGACGCTACTCTAGAGACCAGTTTAAACAGTAAAATTACTATCATAATTATCGCTAATGGTATGCTACAAGTAACCATGAATTACATATTTTAACAATATTCCAAGTTAACGATTCTCCACAGCACGAAGAAATATTAACTACAATATATTTGTCATTATTATTATTACTATATCGAAGAGTGAGGACTGTGTTCATTAATGAACAAGGCATGCCTTATAACTTGAATAATCTCCAGTTGTTCTACACTTGAAGAATTTTAGTAGTTGTACTTTTCTGATTGAGATTAACCATAAGGTGACAACTCCATAATATATTGGGTTACTTGGACTATGTGGTTACGAACTACTTCAACAAGTGGACTGTGCTAATTTCGTTGATTAAACGTGCTGATATGGAGTTGCGATTGGTATTCAATTTCCTTGACTTGGGTGATACTGTATGTTACAAAACTTTCACTTTATGCTGTATAATTTTTCGGTTAAAATGACAACGACCGAAACGTATGCGAATGAGGTACTGATTCAGATATTTGACTGAGAAAGAAAACAATTTCAGAAGAAGAACAGATGAACCTTACTGACGAGCATTATATGCTTGAAAACCTGTCTAAACAATATATCTGGAATAAATGGCGATACGGGGGTTGCCTAACATGTAAGCAGTCATACACTTACTGATGGACATGAATTGGTCAAGCAGCAGCGGATAGTGTATTATTTAGATTATAAGTACTGATGACCAGTGCATTTGCTTCACAATTTTTAAAGCAGATAGATGCTTTAACTCATTGTAACTAGCTGAATTAATGTTTCTGTCATACTTTAACTGAAAAAAAGCTTAAAATAGAATCAAATTTTGTAAGCGCTTGTTAGGTAGGCTAACAAAAACCAGGGCAGGCAACCGGCAACAATAAGATCAATAAAATATACCAGATTTTAAAGTATATGACGTGCATATAACATGTATTGTGAAAACTGTGGATTAACATCACTTCATTTATCACAAAAATGCATCTGTCGAATACAGCTGATCATTTTTTTAAACAAACATTAAATTCCACTTATGGAATAATTATTTTTTTACACAAGCTCATTAACAATTATTTACAATGTATCTATGTATGTAATGTATACTTGTATGTGTGTGAACTGGTTATTTCATCGTTGTGTTCACAAAAACAAAGTTTCCGTCAACTAATTTAGCTATAGAGTCACTGGTATTTATTGATGGATGCGCGAATATGAATAAATGCATTCGATCAATACTGTTATCCCCGCTTAACATGCATATGAAGAGTTGACAGATATCGAAAGTGACTGATGCATGAATGAAAACATATACAGATCTTAAGTGTAGTAGAGTTCACCAAACTTAGTACATATATCAAAAACAGAGAACAGGACTTAGCATATGCGCCAGTGCATAGATTCGGCTAATATTTATACAGGAACAGGTGACTAGTAAAATTCATAAAACTACGTACTACTGATTGGTTGAGTAGTTGTTTGCAACTCATATCAACCAGTAGTGCTTGCTAGTTAGCTAGATCAAAATGATCTTAACACCATGCCGCCCTTTTCGATCGCTTGGGACCGAGCTCATCAACGATGTACTCTGTTTAACTCAGCCCAGAGAGCTGAATCATTTTAAAACACGTGATTTCTCGTTAGCTACTCGGGGGAGCTGAATCGAATTTGTAGTTTACACAGTTCCGGGTGGTTTGAACTGATTCAGCTCCTTGGGCTGAGTCAAACCGACTACACCACCAGTGAGCTCGACCCCAAAAGAGCGAAACGGCCGTTAGTTTAATCCAACGGATTAGCGAGCACTATTCGTTGAGCGGTATTAATTACTTGTTTCAATCAATCAGTAGTATAAAGTCTCATGAATTTACGCTTGGTTTCTTGATTACCATTAATAGTATCAAGTAGGTAATATACTGTGATCCAAATGATCTCAGTTTTCAAAGGAGGCTGTGGTGAAATAACCAATTAGAAGTGTGTAAATTACGAATTAATTTGCAAAGCTGAGAAATGATTTGAGAATCTGATTCAACTGGTAAAATCTTTAGGTAACAAATTATTTATCTAAGATATTTGAAGATGTGTTGTCCTGGTGTGCTTAAAAGATATTAAACATCGATTGTTTATTTCAATCACGCAATTGTTACCTAACTTCTTTCAGAAGCTTTTGGTTGTTATTCTGAAACTTAAAACTTTGATAACATTCTTTTCGCATTAGAAATATGCGGCCTACAGCTTGCGAATGATATCGCCGAAAAGAATAACTCTTCGCTGAGTGCTTCTTATTATTAAATAATTATTCGCATAATGTATTAAAGAATGTATTAAATAGAATCAAATAAAGTTGAACAATAAGCTAAACTTTGCGAATAAATTGCAATGAGCATTGTGTAGTTACTACATCAAGTCATTTACTTTTAGAGGCTGATTATCATTCCTAAACTCTACAAAGCGTTTGTCACGAATGGCTTTTAGTGAATAGGGTATACAGTGGAGTTAAACTGTGGGGAGGTACATCGTGATTGGTGAGGATAGTTGGTTCCAACACCGTATATATTCGGGCATATTTGAAGTTTAAACTGCATTTTAGTCTGTTTTTATGTGTAGTAAACTGAATGTAGACTTAATGTCGAAAGTTTACGATTGACTGCATCAATGAAAATCAATTTAGACTTGATTATATACGTAAAACTGATTTCCAGAGAATCCCACTGAATTTAACACAACTCTAACACTCACGCATTGTCAACCAATCATAGGAACAACCTTATCATTTGAACAACAGAAAGGTAAAACTATGAAAGTTTTGCTTACATTAAGACAATACTTTCTGTCTTTAACTTTCTTCTACCACAGTTAGTGGAATGACCAAGCCTTCACAATTACAATACCTTCGTTCTACATTTTATTGAATAATTATTTTAGGTCTTTCCACACATAGATCTCAAGAAATAAGAATCCCAACCGATGTAACTCTGATATACTATTACGATAGAAAAACCTATTCATTAGAAAATTGTAGGTGCCGCAAAATATTCATGCTGAAGGATCTATTCCATGATGACACTGCAAACCGGTTAGTAGAAGTTTAGCCGAGAATTACTCATTGACAATAATACTAAATGATGTTCTGACAGAACAACAAAACTCACCGCGGATTCTTCATCTATAGCAACTCTAATAATGTGTTCAAAGGCCAGTTCAACATTGGTATTTTCCTTAGCACTGCATTCAAAATACGGAAGATTCCCGTTAGCTTGACACCATTGTCTAGCACGATTTTCAGATATCTGTATAAAGCAGATAGAAGTTACTGTTATCATGAAAAACGGGAAGAGTAATGGCGCAACTATTTTTAATTACAAAGATGAATATGGTAGATAAGTAACCTAACCTCTACCAGTCAATTTGTCCTAGAAATCTTCGCCCCAATTCAAAACATCAAATAGATCCAGAAGCTTTCTACTGTACTTCTTATTTAACTATCCAGAATCTTCATTAGAATTCTTTTTCACGTGGAAGGAGTCTTGAACAGCTGATGAATAAGCGTAGAAGACAACTGTGTTCATTTAATATATTGATCTACTTCCATTACTTATGATCCGACAGATACTATAGAATATGGCGCCACTGATGCCTTGAAAATTATGAAACACATTTACCGTTCTGCTACAAATACCTTTCAAGTTAGTAAATTAGATCAAGTGTGAACTACCTTTGGATGCGATTACTGTTCCTGTTTTATTTTTTACTAAAATAAAGCCATTGGATAATAAAGAACCACACCAAGACTATAACCACCTTAAGGGTTACATCTCAAAAAAACGACCTAACCAACACGAGTTTCCAAGATGACCCATTGCTGGAATAACTAGGAATCAATAGCTGCTTATTATTTCTGACTATGGCAGTGTAATAACATGATAACTATAGGAAATAATCTAATTACAAGGCCTACATATCTAAGTAACACTCATTTCTGCCGAAGGTTTAGCTATCCAGTCGACTGTATTTTATACATGATAGCGAGATATGTAAATAAATTAAAAATAAATGTTATCTATAGCTAAATAATTATGATTGGCTGAGAAAACAGAAGACATTAGGTGTAGTGTCACACTCTTGGATCATCTTATTGTCAATCTGTATATAATGGCATATAAATAGTACATTAACTTAAGAAAAATCAATAACAGTGGTGACTTGTTCAAAACCTAGATCCTGTATACAAGGGACTGTTTATTTATTGGATTTCCTGGAAATCTTTCTTACACCGTTAGGATTAGGGTTATTTCCTTTTTCTTTATCATTACCACCTCTAAATAACCACTCAAACACATACTGTTTAAATGAATTAGACAGAGATGCTAGTTCTGTTGTGTGACAAGAGTTTATAATGTATAATATATTTGTTGTCAAAAACTCATTATTATGTGGGAATACTGACTTAAGCAGTTAAACGAGGTTGACATATAACCAACAATTAGATTTAGTCACAGATTGAACAAAGCATCAAAATGGCAATGTGTCTAAGACATACTTATAAAAATTGTGCACGGCCCTTTCTGCTTTTGCAACCATAAACTAGGTAAAAGTGTGAAGACTAATAATGTACTGATGTTAGTCAGAACTTAGTTACCCGCATTAGAGTTTACATTAACTACTCTTATCGTGTTGATAAAAGGCAGCTGCCAAGCCAAGCTGAAGTAGCTGACATTCTGAATTTATTTATTTAAGAACAACCTTCGTACAATATGGGCACAAAGAGATGCGCCAACGTTCTGAAACAAACGAACAAAACAGTTAATCCTGAGTATAAAATATTATATGTGGAAAAAAACATAACTTACAGCTCTATTGTCTAAGTCGCATTTATTTCCAATTACAATGAATGGGAATTTCTCAGGATTTCGAGGACTTGACTGCACCAAAAACTCATCTCTCCATGAATCCAACGTCTTGAAGGTATTAGTCATAGTAACATCATACACAAGAACGCAGCAGTCAGCGCCACGATAGAAAGCTACTCCCAGAGATTGAAATCTTTCTTGTCCAGCGGTATCCCAAATCTGCATTGTTACCAAACGATCATCAAAAACTTCTTGTTTTGTAAAGAAGTCTGCACCGATTGTGGCTTTATACTGATTACTGAACTTTTTGTCAATATACTGAGTTATTAAAGATGTCTTCCCAACGCTTAGGAAATTAGTATTAGTGTTTAATAAGCAACCTACCCACTGTCTCCGATAACGATAATTTTCAGAGAGATTTTCTTTTTGATAACCATGATCTACATTTATATGCAAGAAACTAGGTGGATTAGTTTATTGTTTGATTTTTAGAAGAGTAAAATTTCATCACGTTAAAAATATGCATTTCGAACACGATGGACATACTAGATTAGAGTAACATCTTTAAAAAGAGAAATGATAATCTAACCCTGAATGTAGGTCCACTTCGAACTGGAGACCCACCTGACTGAAAATTGTCCTCAAGTAGACAAGTGATGCCTATAACAATGCAGCTGGAGTTATGGCAATATCGGTTTTCATTGATTACCTAAACTTTAACCTCTGCTTATATGCTAGTACAACCTACAAATAACTTCAAACCTGGTCATTATTATATACTACTTGGATAGTTGACGATTACTTGCTTTTGTGTTCAATTGACCTGTCGATTGGCCTGACAGTGTAGAAGCAGTTTCAATATGCTGAAACTGACCTTCATCAACATGTCATCACAGAGACATATTCTTTAAAGTCATACGTGCTTCACCACGTGGTGAACAGGTACTTCACAGCACACATGTTAACTCAAGAATTCAGTAATCTCTAGGAGCTTCTTAAAGTAGTGGTCCTGAAAAAAAAACCTGTCAAATCGTAAACAACTCAATGAACACGTTCGGAACTTCCAGTTAGTAAAATGTCCTGCGGTAGATAGGCTTTTATGCATACGGGAAGTTATTATATAGACATAATTCACTTAGATCTCGAGTTGAACATAGGATTCAACAGTAAAGAAAATCTGATGGTCTGTTTTAGCAACAGTCCTTGTCTAAGTTGGCAGAGCTAGTGGGAACTGCACTTGTGGTGGTCTCAACTTCACTAATTCGGCAGATTGGTTTGCCAGAATCCCCCAACAAACTGTAATTCAAGTATGTGTAAGACCAACAAGCGATGAATCTTAAGTAATAGAGTTGGGCAACTCCGTCGAACCACTCAAGCCAAAAAGTTCCGGAATCAGATTGAAAATCACCAATTATCACCTCAACTTAGCGAATCTCGTGGTCGTTCGAAATTAAAACGACAAGAGAGCGAAACTCCGGAATGCTTTTAGCAACACAACACCCGAAGAAAAGATAGAAGTTTTAAAGAACCTTGAGGTTTGACAGGAACACTAACATCTAGAGAAACTACCACACTGAAACGCCTTAGCGTAGTCGGGACAGTAGCTGCTCGCGCTACAAAACATGTTAACAAGAGTTGATATCCCGTAGATATTCAGAAACTGTTTTGTATTTCTTTATTACTCCTTTGTCTCACACCTCTGCTCACTGTTTCTATTATGCTTTTCTTGTACTTTCTTCTCTTGCTTCGCGTGCTACACGGAATGTGGCGACTTGAACTTCCGCACATTTGTGCAAAGTTCTATGTCGAAAACAGACAGACAGACAGATATTCAGGCAAAAGAGAGCGGATCGAAATGTCAGGAAAGAGGAAATCTTAAATTCATTCGTAGCAAATGAGGAACCGATTGCAACGTTCAGAATAAAAATCAAGTTTACACAAAGCCATTCAGCAGATATATATATATCCCTGATGACGTAACGATGCGTACCATAGCCAAAGATTTGCTAAACTACGAACCATTCGTATTGGCATATTGAAGACCAATAGATAGTATCAAAAAGTTATCTCTTAAAGAAACTACCTAATTCACTAAAAATGGGGACCCTAGGTGATCCTACATTCCAATCAATCTTGGACAAATATCTAGAACTAAATTATATGTAGAACGGCTTACTGTGCATGAGAAGCAATTCTATACACCACACTTCACCAAGACGACAACCTTGACGGTTAGCATCGGGTAAACTAATAATGGCTGGGGATGAATTCAACTATATGCTAATCCTCGGTATCATCCGACCGTCGGGCGGACCATAGGGATCACCGACCCACATGGTGCCAAAGGATAGTGATGACTGGCAACCAAAGGGTGACTAAGGGCTTTCGGTGCCAAAACTGTCCCAGATTAGTATCCACTATTGCATATCTACGGTTTAACACCAATGTTATCAGATGCAACTACTTTTGCGAGATTGAATTAGTAAAGGCGAACAAACATTCCGATATCATCCTAAAGACGTCCTGAAAACGTATTATTAATGCTATTGGACTGTTCGGATTCCTGCGGACGCTATTTGGTTTTTGAAGTGCAGCACAAACGTGCTAACGCTTCATCAACAACGTGTTTTGAAGGCAACTTCAGACATTCATAACTAGGTAACAGTCTCCTCACCAGAGCAGATAAGTAAATCCAGCTTCAATATTTGGATTTGGTTTCCAACAGTTTGTGACAACACGACCTAACTATCCATTCTAATAGCTGCTGACTACAAGCAATACTCCTTGATTTCTTTGGGTATGTCCTTTATTTTTACAAAGGCATATAAGACATTTATTAGGTTGTGAGTTAAACTGGGTAATACCATTAAGCAGACCTCCGTTAAGGCTAAGAAAGCCATAAAGTAAACCATCTACCTTGTTAGAATATAGTGACCCGACAGCATTCTTGGGCACCTGTCAGTACTTTTGACTCAGTGGCTGATGAAATATCACAACTGGCTGACAGTGGCAATCACCAATCCCTTCCTCGAACCACGGGGTCCAAGCGTGGTATTTCCAGCAGGAAAATTTCTAATTAATTGCCGTGCTGTATGTTGCAACTTTTTTTGAAGCATAACTCTAATCAAGATCAACTTCTTCATAAGTAACAATTCGTCCCAGCTAGCATTTTTTTCGGGCGCATAGCAGACTTTTTGGGGCAAAACTTCGGGTAGATCTATTTCCGTGGGACAGTGTCCCGAAGTTTACCCTAAAAAGTCTGCAATGCGCCCGAAAAGAAATGCTAGCTGGGATGTTGTGGGACAGCCACTTATGGCATGATGCCATCAGATTTCTAAACCTAAAGGCATATAAAAGGGGTTGTCAGAGAAGTCAAAAAGGTGGTAGGTTTATTCGCTGTGACACTAATAGCCATAAAACAGACATCACAGGTTTCGGACGTTTGTATTCTACTACTGGGCTGGAATTATATGTGAGAAAACAGCGCAGTATTTGTAACTGCGTAGTACAAAACAAACACACCAAACAATAAAAACACATTAAATAATGAAAGTTAAATAGATAGTCGCAAAAAACCCTTCCAACAATAACTAACAGTAACAAATAATAACCTTAGGAAACTCACTCGAAATAACCGCCGTAAGAAATCCGAGACCCAAATACAGCGCCTTTGATCAATTGTTTCACTAGGGGTTACGATACTGCAGAAAACAAGGTTTTCCATTTTTATGACTAAAAGCCATGAAAAACAAACTGAATCCTCGTAAACGCATGATATATCACATTTCTGTTCCTGTGGGGACGGATAATTCCTTAAAACGATTCGTCTACCACATTATGATTCTACTCTAGGTGCTGACCATTGCTATTTAAACCGAACTCTCTAGATGGAGCTGCGCCCCAAGATACCTACTACATTATCACGCGATCACGTTTCATCAAGCCGTTCATGTATTGTTCCTAGCTGGCTGGAAATACATCCAAGCATAGCAGCACCAAATGCGAAATGTTTTGTAATTCCTAAGTTTCACTTATTCTTCTGACTTGGTCTGATAACTGTTCAGATAATTTTATGTGATTTTTGGATGGTATATACATGCTTCAAGATCTTCTTCCACACGCTACCCATAGAATTACTTGCCGCAGTATATATCTTGTCACAGTTGTGTAGCATTTCACCTCAACTTCAAACAAGCAGGCAAGTGTAAATAATTTTGTGGTAAATAACTGTCTAGTGTTAGAAAGTGAGTTTTAGTTCACTAGGTAAGCATATTTGCACACTTCTTGAGTTCTTTTAGCCAAAAGTATTGGACATAACACTCCTAGTGTCTGGCGTGCTCACGCATTCGTGCATGATAGTGGGAGCCGATTAGATAAGAATTATTAATTAATGGTGATTCGATGAAAATATCAGTCAATCTGCACAACCTGCCCATAAGCACTGGTAAGTATTTCGACTATACGGAACCCAATAACGTCGTTTCCGAGCCTAAATGACGAAACTGAGCTTGGTACTAATACAAAAAACCATGATTTCAAATTCAAACAGTGAAATAATAAATCTCATAATGAATACTTTAATAGATATACCCTTAAAACGAATAGGAAAGAACATAGAAACCTTTAAAACGCAAGCTTCCAGTTTGTGTGATTATAATTTATGGTATGATTATGAACAATTAATTGTGTTCTAAATGTCACACAGCAATTAATAATGTTACACTATGTGATATATCTGACAAACAACATAATATGGAATTACATACTACTACAGTGCCCAAGTTTTACACACACATGAAATAATATATAATATGGATTACTAATTGCCTTGGGATGCCGCTGTTTTTCATTTGGTTCACAGCATGAACGCACAGTAGAAAATAGTCCTGTAGCGGTAAATAATTCCTAAAAAATTATTACTTTACAGGATAACTGACCCTTAAATCGACTTGTGAGTTTGAAGGTATGTGGTCAAGTATCCTTATAATTCAACACTGTCACATTACTTTCGGCCATTCATCCATAACTAGTTGAGCGATCATCATCTCTCTACGTTTCTCATGTGGTAATGTATCTTGCACTTTGCACGATCAATCTGTTGTTTTGGTTTTTGTTTCTTCTTAAATTCTTTCTTCTACGAACTACTGCTGTTTTCACTGATACCCATGGGATACAGCCCCTAGAAAAAATTTTGGTTCATACCTGCTTTGTTTAGGATCAAGTAAACTGTTATCTGCGTGTGCATCCCACACGAATACCCTCGGCCAGCACTGCATTTCTTAAGTGGGCTATATTTCTTTTTATGGGTGCAGAGCACAACACCTTGGTCACCTACACCGTTTCCAGCTGTGCAATCCCATCAGAACCTGCCGACGTCTTCGTCAGTCAACCACGCCGCAGGACATCTGCACATAAAGACAACAACCTGCATTCAGTAATTCACCAAGCTGTTACTGTTGCAATTGGTTCAATACGATCGTGAGCTAGTGTGCACACCTCAGCATATTAAATCCAATTTGTATGAGTTACCCATGTATTCATCCTGTGATGAGTCAATAAGGATATTGGGAAACATAAACAGAAAGCCTACAAAAATACTCTTGGATGCTGACGTACCAGCGTCCCTTGTTTGGGCTTCCGTCCACCACCGATCATTTCAGTGCGCACCACCATCACCGGCCTGAACTGTCTCGAAGCTTAAACTACTCCTGATCTAAAAGTCAAGCTTAAAGATCTAAATGCAGAGCACGGGTTTCTTATCTGTTCACAGATTAAATGGTATCTGGTCGTTAGCGTAGACCTCTTTACGTCTCATGTCTCTATAATGGATGCCGCTCAAGCAGAGGTTAGGACGGACTCAGCCTGTATACCTTTTAATTGCACTGAACACTCAGCCTATCCCATACCAAACCTAGTCTCATCCTACTTCCTAAGTCAAGTTTTTATCAATTGACCTGCTCGTGGTGGCACTCATGGGCAGATGTGACATAATGAGATGAGCTCCTTAGTGTGTTTCAAGAAGAGAACATACCGGGAAGTACAGACGTTGTACAACACAGTGTGGATACTGGCAGTCACTAGCCTCTGCCTCAACCACCCAGACAGACTCCCGTTCTCTATAAGCCCTAAGATAGGTACCTAGATACAAGTTATGTTGAACAAGAAGACTGTGGTGCCCCTAGCCCCCACAGCGCTGTCACATATCTGTGAATTCATCCGTCTCTGATAGTATTCATGTGCAAACGATGACAGTAAAAGATGAGTCCTCTGGTATATTTGTATGTATACCTTATATATCGTATTTTTGACGACACCCAACGTTTCCTAAAGCCTAGGGACCTTCCAGTAAACGACTGTCTTGGTCTACAGATGAATCAGTTTTCATCTCTGGGAGGTTACATTCTTCCTTTCAATTAAGTTTTACAGGCCAAAATCAATTACATATAAGTTCTAGGTGAATATTAGCAAATTGGTTCCTCCTATATATCATTAGTCACTAACTTATAAGACAACACGTCGTTCCCCTTTGGTGATTTTGTTTATTTTATAATACGCAGAAGTGATAACACTGCGTGAGTTCATTAATTACAGATATAACTGAAGTCTCCCGGCCGGCGCACTCCTTTACATTGCTAAGTCGTTAATGAGACTAGTAGAGGGAAGGTTAAGCATGAAGCTAGCAAACCCATCCCGTAAAACCTAAACATCACTACAACCCAAACTTCAAGCCTCTAACTTAAAACCGTTTAGGACCGTTGTCAATGTAGTTGAAGATTGAACGACCAATTCATGGTTGTTTCCTCAAACCCAGCTTCTCCATATTTTCGCGCGAGTCATCAATCCAGAAGTCATCGACCCATCGTTTGCTGTTCAGGGAGAATAAAAAACTATCAAAAGTATTGTCATGATTTATTGTCATAACATTTATTCTTAGACCTTGTGTAACACCTCATTGTTGGTTACATGTTGGCGTAAGAATAAAGGATTCTTGAGTCGCCAATCAGTGTTCTGGTCTACGCGTTGGTTAATACAAAGTGTTTCTGGAAGTCTTCGAGGGTCAGCGTGAGGTGCAGTGTAGTAAGAGCTGGACATTGACAGTTTATGAGAGTTGGCTGACAACCCTATAAACCTGCTCTACATCCCCGGTGTAATTAATGTTCCTGTTCATATTTTTCATTAAAACTCCCGCCAAGTCTCCCAGAAGTTAAAGGTCTGCCTGCTGTCTATCTGACTCTCTCGAGCACTTTATTTATCTCCAAATCTTTGCGTCGTCAGCGTAAAGAAGAGACGGGCAGCCTTAAATCAGAACAGAATAGAATCTAGTTTCTATGAATTTCTACTATGGACTCACTTAACGCCATCTCCAGTGGTCTCAGTCATTTCCGTTTTTCTTATGGTTTGTAGCAGATTTCGACCGAATTTTCCCTGAGTTTACCCCGAGCCAACGTTCATAGTTGGGAGGGTGAAATCTTCAACCACGGTGATTTGGTGATAGCCCAAGTCCCGTATCACTGTGGTGGTTCTGAACAGTAGCTGGTTGCGCTCTGATTCCGCATACTTTTCCTCTTATCCCTCTCATATCCCTATATAGGCAGCTGACAGTCAGTCTCACCATCTCGGCATGTTGTGGGGTGTTTGACACTACTCGTGCTGCCGACAGAGGATTTGCTGTTGGAACTAGTTGGCAATTCAAAAAGAACTGGCCTAATGTCGTTTTTTCCTTGGATTGAGTCAGGGCAGTCGGGTTACACCGGTTGTCATTCCCAGTGTTGCACAGCCGTAGTACCACTGAGGCATGGGAACGCATTGTAACTTCAGTTCGCCGCCTCGTTATGGTTCGAGGTCGGGTTTTACAGCATCGGATATATCCTCACATCTTACTCTTGGTCTCGTACCACCGTTGAAATATTAAGGCCAACTGTTCCTAGGAGCTGAATTTGACGCTTGTTAGCATTGAGGAGCTAATCGATGTGAGGCGAGTGGGACGAGGTAGCCGGCATGTTGAGATTGCCCCAGAAGCACCAGGGGCCATGTGAGATCACAACAATCTTCCGCTGTACATCATGTGTGTTTTTCACAAGCAGTGCGAATATCCAGCTCCGGACACAACGTGTATTACCATGGAGGTTGACGAAATCAGTCACAATGAATTCCTCTCCATTCGCCTGTTAGCCCATGGCTTATCATCTCTTTCTCCCATATTGGAACTGCGAAGTCCAGTATTTGGGCCAGTAATAATATTCTTTTAGCCTCTTCGACAGGGCCCATTGACAACCTTAGTGAGGGTGGCCTACCTTGAGATGACTGGACACCACTCTACGGTCCGCACAGCTTTGCTGACTCGACATCCAGCCCTAATCTACTGCACAATGTAGGCCACTGTTCCCGACCAAACACAGACCTTTGTTCAAAAAGACTACTGTCAAACAATGGCACATCAAGCATAACGAGGGAGTTCGGTAGACTGACCTCACATTTTGGTTTGGTCTTTGATTGCCTGTTCTCCCTTGTGAGGTCGGTCAATTCAGACTTCATCGATGTCCAACTAGTCTTTATTATGTTGCCATGCTTACCAGCAAATGCCAGTGATCCTTTGGCGATTCCGGCTTTCCCTGATGTTCCTGGTGCAACTCTAGAAGTCTTCAGTTTATGAAGATTGATGCTGTCGTTCGGTTGGGCTCGAGTTTCTTTCTTACGGGTTTTCTCTTAGTTTTGGAAATGTGGTATTGTCAGATGAAACACTGCATGATAGTATGTCGGTGCGGAAAGGTGGCATACTGTTTCTGATATCCGGAGACACGCCACGTGAGTCGGCCAGGGCGACAAAGTGGATAAACCTGCCAGGACCAGGGGCACGGGTTATTTCACACAAACTCATGGTGTGGTTTCGACACTCTTTAATCACAACGGCAGTGCGCCCACATTTTGCAAAAATTACATTCAAATACTGAGTCGCCTTTAGAAATAACAACACTACATGCTTGGCATTCGTCTCCTTTCCTAGAAGACTCTTTCCAAGTATTGTGACGTCTTGAGCATTTCATTTTCGTTTTACTGTGTGTCAAACAATGGCTTCCAAAGGGGCATGGATGTAGTGTCACGTCCTCTTGGTTTTGCATATTCCGTTTCAGTGCTAGACTGTGGCAATGCAGGCATACTGTCAGATCAGTGATATGTACGCGGGTCTTTAGAACCAGTGTGAGAGATAGGGTTAATATCCCCGAGTTGTTTCCTCCATGACTGAATCCCTAATCACTACGGAATATGGTATCTTAATGCTCTTTTTAGGCCAGTTTCAGCCGTTATACGACCGGCTGTAATAGGATTCCATCTTGTTCTCTGTGAGCAATTGCGGCGGGAGTCTACGCGATTATGTCTGCACTATAACAATGCGAACTATGCTGAAATGCGAGGGTTTTTGTCCGACACAGAATGGCCCTTAGTATGGGATGAGTCATCTATGGATGAACACTGGGAAGTGACAAAAGGGATTATCCACAGAGCAATCTCGGACACCATCCCTTTAGCCAAAACAGCCAAAAACCTTCGCCATGGTTGGAGAGAGTTTCGCAGCGTATTATGTAAGCAAAGCAGAAGGTTTGGTTTTTGTGGTGAGTATCCAAGAGTCAGATCTACTACGATGAATACCTGGAACTCGGGAACCGGTGCAACGCAAGAGCCGGGAGTGACAAGTGGTCATTTCAGGCTAACCTTGCAAAAAACTCCTGGCGAACTCCAAAGGCTTGTATTGATTCATGTCAAAAAGAAAACCGACAAACCATGGGGCATGTGCCTTAGCAATCCCAAACAATCAATATTTCACTAGTCTGGAGATGGCTGAAACATTCAGTTCAACCTCCGCCAGATGGTTATACAGCAATGTGGGTATTAATGATATGGACCGAAATGATAGCATTACTATTCGCTTAGTTTTATCAGTTTCATCCATTTATTTTAGGGCCAGGCTTATTTTGGTGTTGTGGAAAATGCACTACACGCGTTTGGTTGCAAGTATAAATAGTTCTGAATGGTGTATTAACGTCTTTCATATGAAAATTTCTTATGAGATCACCTTCAGAGTGTTTGAATTGTATCTGAAGTATTTAGTGACTCAAAGACTAAGATGCCTCTTTGTACTATATCCTATTGGCCTTAAAATAAGTATTGCTGATTTTAGAGCACCTCCTCCTAGCTAATGCAAAACATAGTATTCTTTTCCTGACTAGATATGGAAAAATAATTCGAGCATTTCGGTGAACGAAAACATAAATTCATTAGGATCCTATCCAAATAAGATAAGGCGCAAATTATAGAGTGAGCCAACAAAATTCGACTTATATTCTTAAAACCAGCTGTTTTCATCATCAGAAGTTTCTATCTGTGTAATAGTACAATTTAGGCAGTGTGATAGAATATTATCCCACATTCAACATAGCACACAATCACAAAGCATTAACAAATGGATGAAGTCTAGACGACAATTTATTGCTCATAATAACATTATATTGGGATTTTTACCTACTTTGTTTACTGATGTGTTA